ATTTATCATTTCTTATGAAATTAAAACTGTTTAAATATCGACGATTTTTCGAAACCTGAAATGTACAATTTTTGAAGCCAATTCGATAAATAGATAAACAGATAAATTTCAATAAATAGATTTAATTCGATAAATAGATTACTATATATTTTTTTCATAAACGCAATGTCTCTGAATATACGTATTATCCTGTAACAATTCTTTCAACTTCAATTGTCATTCAATCTCTAATACCATTAGAACGATGTTGCATCAAGTTCAAATAACACAATATGATTTGATAATATTTCATGAAAAGTCGAAAACGCTGACATTTCCCTCGTAATAAATAAACAGATAAATTTCGATAAATAGATTTAATTCGATAAATAGATTACTATATATTTTTTTCATAAACGCAACGTCTCTGAATATACGTATTATCCTGTAACAATTCTTTCAACTTCAATTGTCATTCAATCTCTAATACCATTAGAACGATGTTGCATCAAGTTCAAATAACACAATATGATTTGATAATATTTCATGAAAAGTCGAAAACGCTGACATTTCCTTCGTACTGCAAGAAAATAGCGGTTTCTGATTGTATACCATTACATGATAAACAAATTGTGTCTACTTTTAGTCTGCAGTATTCGCGTACAATTAAATTCTATCGGAAACTGCTTTAAATATTTGCTTCGAAAGCGGACCTTATGTATATTTTCGGACGGAGTTGCTTGCGTTTACGTTCGTCTGTCAACTCTATTATCAAAGTTTCCGTCTGCGAAAAACAAACATCGGTGTCCAACTCAGTTCGTACTTGTGCAGATTTCTTTGCAACGCGGGACTCGACATTCTCATGAAACGGAACGACGTTGCTTCCGCTGAACAACGTCGTTCCGGAATATGCTAGCAGCAACTTGTTCGTCTGGACACGAGCTAAAATAGTTGTACTAAATCAATCCTACGGGGTAGGTAACAATTTTTGACGACGATTGTTATACGTTAAAGTCGTCGATATTTTGAAAATGACCTGTTGATCAAATGTTTCCTTCAACAATCCCTTCCTGTTCTACATTCCACTGCACGTGTTATTTTGCAGTTAAGAACATTGTTTTATAAGCAATATGTTTAAACGTACCAGCAAGATGAATATTTTTGTAATTTACAGTAACATAATAGTACGAACAATAGTTGTAACTCGTGCTGTTTTTATTACGAATTGAAACATAGTATTATTAGACTGCGGAATTTTGTGCAAAATAAAACCTTTCTTCCATCAATTCCAGAAATTGAGAACCGAGTAGAATAAGTTTAATAATTTTAATCGCTTTAAAATAACATGACCGTGTCCTTTTACACTTGTATTTCACGCTACCATTTTTCCCATAAATGCATGAAATCCGCAATCTGCTTGTTATACTGGAATTAAGCATGCATTTAAATACCGAGCAGTGAATATTAATAAATATTGTTAATAATAATATTAACCTTTAATAATAATAATATTAATCTTAGAATATTAATCTTTACGAGCTAAAAATTCGTGAGCTAACTTATGTTTACGTTTCAGTCGGTGTTCAAGACCACTATTTAAGAAAATAATTGACGAATATAAGGTTCGATAGATCGAGGAATGGACAAAAATTCGGTTACGTTCGGACTAAAAAAATCTGTAAGAAACGCGCAGTAATAATTTCCCTTCGGGATTTCGTATTCCAGAAGATCGAATATGAAAATTTATTGGACACGTGTGTTACCCGATACGAGCAGCTAATGCGCCCGACTATTGCTCGCTGCTTCCACTTGCGATAGAGATTAATGACGCTATAGCAATTTATTTTCCATCGATCTTAGTACAGTCTGATTATCAGGGGCTGGGAAATTCGTTTGAAAAAAAGTCACAATCATACGCAAACAATAACACCGGCGGATAAAAAACGCCAACGATGGACAGATAGACGACGTAAGTAGCGTTCAAACATGTACGCACGAAACGTATACTCGCGCCGCGTTTCCTGGAACATGGCAACTAGCACGTCAAAATTGTTACCTCGTACATTTTTTCTTTAAATTCCTTGCAATACAATAAGAACAACATTTCTCCTACACCATCCGACAGAGAAATCGAAGTTTCGACAAATATTTTCCAGCTGAAAACTTGGTCGTCGTTCTTTCTCCTAATTTTTCCATTATTTTGCAACACTCAAACATCGAATCAACGCTTTGATTTTGAAAAATAATGTTCACGTAACAACGTCGCCTAAACCGTGAGAACATTGACAAAGTAATCGTAATGTGGCACGATTCAACTTTCCAATTTCAATACGACCGAAACCAGTTCTCCGATTTCATGAAACGTGCGAGCTCGTTGGCGCGACAATGGAAAAAAACCGTAAAAGTATCAAAAAAGAAAGTTCCGTCGTTCTATACGAATTCCGTCAACAGTACCGCCAGGCCGTTTCAGGGATTGTCAAGAGCCATAATACGTCAAAGGGACGAGAAATCCTCGTCGGAAACGAATCCGGAAGGTTCTGTTCGCGACACGGTATTGTAAACGATCGTTGGATTATCATAGAAATATGCACGATCGAAGCCGGTAATTAGCGGTGTTCGCGGGTTTTCTCGGTCGTTTTTAGTTACCGTCCGATCGTAAAATCGACCGCCGAAAATGGTGAACGAACGGGGGGCTCTCGGCACCGCCGACAAGCGGAATCGGTCTCGATCGATGGTGGAACTAAATTTACAACACGATCTCGCGACGCCGACGTCGACGTCGACGTCGTGCGCGGGTTCGGACTAACGCGGATTTTATGCAACTATATACGAAGCAGTAAAACGGGGGTGGCGATTAAAGAGATCGAGTGGCGCGATAAGATTTCGATCACCACTCTCTCGAGTTCTATCACGCGTACAATGGACGAGCATTTCTTTTTACCCTGTGACCGCGGAACGATGTGTGTTCTAAAACGAAAAACCGTCCGGCGTTTCTGCAGTTTTCTATTTTTTTTCTTTTTTTTTCGTTCGTTTGTTCCGCTTTTATTTTTCGAGCCGCGAGAAGCGGCGGAGCCTTCGCTCGCGCGGAGAAAGTTCGGCGAAAGTCGTCGACGCGCACGTGCGACGATCGCGATCTTGTGCTTTACGCGAGGAAAATCTAATTCTATGCAGGCTGTTATTTAACATCGTAACGCAATATTTACTGCTTGCACGTTCAACCCTCGCCGAAGCTCGGCTGGAAATTAGCCCAGTTTCGGTTTACAAGCACCGCGAAATGTTTTATTTCGCCATAATTGCGCGTCGCGTTGCACGGCGTGTTTCATTTCGAATACGTCGTTGCGAACGGGACGCGATCCCGTCGGATCGAAACGCGAAAGCGAACGTGAAGCCGGGGTATCCCGAGGATCTACGGAGCGGCTGAAGAGCGCGCGCGAGGATTAATAAAATATCGCGTCGGCGAGGAGCTGTGCTAGATAAATGATAGCCGCGGACATGTTAATTGTGCAGCGGTGACATTTCATTTCGCTGCGAGGAAAACGCCGGCGGAGCCCCCGTCGAATTAGTAAATAAGGAGGCAGGATCGGTCGTTCGTTGATTAAAGGGTTAGATGGTAAATTATCTAGGAGCTATTATGCCGGAAGGGGCGCGTCATTTGTGGGTTGATGCGCGCCGTTCGACGCGAAACAATTGAAGAGGAAAAGAAATGTATAGCCGGAATACACACACGCGCGCACAGACACACGTGGCAGGAAAAACGCGAGCGGACGAACTGTACGGAACAGAAGAAGATACTCTTCCGGCGGAGAAAAAAAAGCAGCAAAACGAACGGGAGAAAAGTACCTATCGAAACAAGGGGGAAATCTCAGTGAAATCAGATACGAGAGAACGTGGAACGGTATATTATCAGGGGATCCGTGTACCCGTTAAAAAGAGGAACGGAGAAGCTCGGGCCAGGTACAACACGCGCATACTTATCCAGCAGGAAAGGAAACGGCGAGACGGTTGAAAATTGTTGCCGCGGGATCGAGTATCTCGATATCTCATAAAAATCGAATCAACACGGTAACTCGCGATAACAAGAAGACGCTGCATCGGTGATTAATGGCGCAATAAAGTCGCGGAAGTTGGGGAATTAGTAAACAGGAAGGAACAAGTTGGCAGGATGCCTGGCGCGAACGAGCTCGTCGGCGCGAAGCCGAAGATTAGGATAATGTCGCCGAGGATAAAAGCAATCGGCTATACCAAAATTCGTCCAGCGAAGATAAGGAATCCACAGCCGGTCGGCAATGAACCGTTCAGAGGCCGCGGAAGAATCGCGAGAACGCGTCCAAAAACGCGTTCGCTTATCACATCGTCGCAACAACGGAGCAGGATATAACTGACGTAACACCGTCGCGCACTGAACAACCACCTCGTGGAACGAACTCTCACCGAAAGTCTGCGGAGCGCAGGGACGGAGAGGCTACGCGAGGACGCGGAATCGCGCGATTAAACCGGGAGCCTCGTTACGAATCCCTACGGCCTCCGCGGCCGGTCGCCCTTATCTTCCCGCCTTTATTCCTCTACTTAGGGCGAGCTTTACAGCTCCCTATAGCCCAGGCTCCCTTAGTGAACAGTCAGCGGTCAGTTTACGATCGTCGTATTGAGATTCCAGGCCGGGCACTCGACTCCTGGGAGCCGGGAAACGACAAAGGCCCGGAACGACTTGACACATCTGGTCGCGTAGTCTCGTAAAGTTTGCCAGCTGCTTGGAACTTCGCGATTACACCGGACAATAAACCCTAACCCCGCGCTGTTGTTGGCGAGCCGGCACTGGTTCGCGCGGACTGTTCGTTCCGACGCCTGTTTTCAGTTTTCGTGAACGCAGATTTGACGAGATTTCGAACCGTTGTCCTTTAACAGACTGCCGGAACAGAGCCGAAACGAGAGCTGAGAGAAAGGAGAAAGAGAGAGAGAGAGGGCTGATCTCGTCGCGCGAACGGTCGCAAGGGTTATCCAGCTAATCGGATGGTTGGTTTTACCTTGTGACGAATCGTTCAACGCGGCTGTCCATGTCACGATGCAGAAAACCGAGATCGCGAGAACTGGGAGCATATTGCTACGTGAACGACGCGGCTACGTCAACTGGCTGGCGCACCTCGAAACCCTCGGTCGTCCCGACGCTTTGCCGCCAACCGAGCGACGCCTGCGCCCCGGCGTCGACGTCGACGTCGAAGAAAGAACCCATCGGGAAATATCTGTTTACAATTATCCCGGAGACACGGGACGTCGGTCCGAGTGGTTTTTCGCGCGACCGGAGCGGAGGCAACCGGAGAGATAAACGAACGTCGGGGGGTGGGTAGGCGCGGGGGGTTGGGGGAGGCCTCTTCCGGTACCAGTTACTTTCATGTTAATCCAATCACGGTTCTAATTACTTTAACGATTTTCCTTTCTATCTCCTCCTTCGGCCGTGCCGGACGCGCACACATGCGCGGCAATGCCCCTGGCCGGCCGAAGTCTTAAAAGGCGATTAATTGCATCAGAGGCCTAGCGACGGGTTCGCCGTAAATAAATAAATGACAGGACGGCGGAGTCGTCTAATTGAATGCCGCGGGATTGCCGGAGTCGCGCAACGATCCGTGAATGGACGAGCGACGATGACGGAGCGGCCCCGACACCGTGCAATAATATTTCGACGGGCGGCGAAGCTTTCGGCGCAAGATTTACGGTTACGGCGCAGATAGCGAACTTTAGAAAATTTCGACGCGCCGGGCTTTATGACATCGACGGCGATCGGACTCGATATTTTTTCGAGGTCAGTGATATTTTCTGCTGTCCGCGAGTTAACCCTCCGCTGCGCGGCTGAAGAGATCTCCTTGTCGGCGCGTGAATAGGGTCACAGGTACAGTGTTTTTCTCTCTCTCTCTCTCTCTCTCTCTCTCTCTCTCTCTCTATATATATATATATATATATATATATATATATATATATATATATATATATATATAT